AGATCGCAGCCGGAGCCCCAGAAGACGCCTCCGCCGAGGCCGGGGTACAAACCGGAATCGGACCTGCAGCCGGGGCCGGGGCGGGAGTCAGGGCCCCGGCAAGAGTTGGGCCCACGTGTAGGGGAAGGACACCCCCCCAAGGCCTCATCTGGAAGGCCGCCGGCGCCCGTGGTGGGGAGCGTGCCCTCTACCAGACCCGAGTCAGGGTCGCAGCCCGCGTCAAAGCCCCCAGCTCTTCCGCGACCCGGACAGCTGAGGGTGTCTTATGGGGTCCCAATTGCAGGGGCTGGCACCGCCTCCACCGCCCCGAAGGCCTTGCTGCCCTTGCTGCCGCTGGACAGCTTCAAGGGCTGGCTCCTCAAGTGGACCAACTACCTGAAGGGCTACCAGCGTCGCTGGTTCGTGCTCAGCAACGGCCTGCTGTCGTACTACAGGTAGGACAGGCCACGGGGGCATCTGCGTTTGCAGGGTGGTGATGGCGCGGTCCTGGGGATGGAGGCATCGGGGTTGGAGGGCACCACGACTGGCCTGGGGATATGTGGGAACATGCGCTCTAGCAGGAGTGATGCCTTTAGCTAACCTCCCAGGATTGGGGGCCCTGACCTCTGGCAGGGGAGCCCCCTGTGGACATGACCTCTGGCAAGCCGAGTGGGTTTAGAGGGTGTGAGCAGGGAGGTCAGCCCCCAAAGTCCTTGATTCAGGAGCCCGAGTTCCGGCATTTCTAACAGCTCCCAGGTGACGCTGCTCCTGACCATAGTCTGAGAAGCACTGCTCCCTGTTCATGGCAAACAGGAGGGCCCTGCCTTGCTGTTGGCTCGTTCACTCGGCCAGGCAGTCTTCCTTCAGGTCACCTACCTTAGGACTGACATGGTCTTGCCCAGCCTTTTTGGAACACAGTTTCTAGAGGATGGTTGGGCCTATGGTGCCCCTGAGAATTTGGGAACTCCACTGAACTTAAGTGATGGTTCCCACTCCAAAATTGGGGTCACTCTAATTCCTGGCAAAGGAGAAAGCTGACACGTGTTCCTAATGTGCCCTTCTCATGTGGTATATTGGTGCCCCTCGGCCAGTCGGCTGTACTAATACACATCACACAGAACATGGTGTTCTTGGAGTCAGGCAACTGAGCAAAGAGAGATCCTTTTCCCTGTTGGAAAGACCACTCTCTAATGAAAACAAAACAAACAAAAAAACAACAACACAAAACTAAGTGAAGCCTGATGTTTGGAGAAAATGTGAATATATATTTCTTGTGCTCCCTCCCCATCCTGTCTACCAGCGTGCCCTCCTCCAGTATAACCACCTTCCCAAATCCTAGTCACTATCTCCTTTCTTTCCTTTTTTATTTAGTTTTATTTCAACCATCTTTAACTTTATTTTTAAACGGGTATTTTACAGCATATGATTTTGGGAACTTATTTATAAAAGTCCAGAATGTGAGTGTACCACTTCTTATTTGCACATTTTCCTCTGGATGGGTGACTACGAACTTTCTTGGACATGTGCAGGGATTTCTCTTGGGCGAAATCACTGGGATGTAGACAATGAACGTTCGCCTTACCTAATGCCAAACTTTTCCAAAGCACTTGTACCAATTTACACTCCCACCTGCAATTAATAAGAGGTCTTGTGGGTCTATATCCTTTGCAAAACTTGTTAGTGTCAGCGTTGACTTTGCCAATCAACTGGGTTTACTGTGGCGTCTGACAGTCTTGACCTGCATTTCAATCTGCATTCTTTTTCTCTTAATAGAAAATAATTGGGGGTTTGGATTAGACTTTCTCCATTGTGTGGCTTCCTCGGGTACTTCTGCCCTGGATTTTGCTTGAGAAGCACATTTGATCACTTAAGCTTATTCTGAGGGGAAAAGTACATAATGCTAAACAGCTGGGCTTAGTAACGTCTATATTATCAGGAAAAAAAGATGCTTTTTGTAAATATTGCCACATATAGAAAGAATTTCTGGGAAGCATGGATAATTGTTAGCAGGTTTTAAATTCTTCTCAACAATGTGGTAGGAACATAAATAAACTCAGGAGATGAGGTTCTTACTCCATTGCTTGACATTTTCAATCACGTCTGTTTGGATACCAACAAGGAGAATATGGTTTTGTGTTCAGTTTGCTTTCCTTTATTTTGGTTGGTAGTTCCCATAAAAAATTCATCCCCAGTTCTTACCTCATAGGGAACATGTAATTACATGAAATTAGGGGGAAAAATAATAAGTGTTGTGAAAATTTCAAAAGTATTGGCTTCAGCAAGTCATTATGGAGAGCGTGCGCCAAACATAAGCTTTATCCATATTAATGACAACATTGATTCAGTTAGGCAAAATTCTGTTTTGTTGTTTACCAGTTGCCTATTTGTTGATTATTATAAATGACAATTTGTTTACCAGGAAACAATTGCAAACAGAAAAATTTGTTGTAATTAATTTATTGTTCAGACTGATCTATGGGTAGGAATGGCTAAGCCAGATAGCAAGGAAGGCCTCAAAGAAATTAGTCTCTATAAGAAAGTGTCTATTAAGGTCCAAGTGAAAGTAAATTTTGGAAGTCCTCTGGCTAAGGAAGACCACTGGACATCTGGTGGACTGGGACCTTTTTGGGGTGTTGGCCTGGTAACAGAAGATGGCAGACCAAGACATCTGTGCCTCTAGGACGGATAAGGTACTCATTCCTCTAGTGCAGTGGTTCTCAACCTTGGCTGCACATTAGAATCACCTGGGAATCTTTTTAAAATCCTGATTTCCGGGCCTCATCCTCCGGAAATTCTGTTTCTTTGTTGCTAATGTTGTGGCCCCACCCCATAACAAAGAAACAGAATTTCCGGAGGATGAGGCCCAGAAATCAGGATTTTAAAAAGATTCCCAGGTGATTCTAATGTGCAGCCAAGGTTGAGAACCACTGCTCTAGTGAGACCTGCTCTCAAAGGCAAACTCATGGAGACTGTGGGCCAGGAAATCGTGTTTTCAATGCCAGTTTAGGTGACCCTTGAAGCAAGGAGATGGAAAAGACTATCCAGCTGCAAAGTGTCCCTGAAAACGTGAAGTTAGGAAGTGCCAGTCCAAAGATGAAGCTACTGGGGTCTCCACCCTAGAGAGTGGCCTCATTAGATTGGATTCTGCTTTAATTTGAAATACCTTTCAGTGTTTTACACTGTGAGACTGTTAGGAAGCTGAAAAGGAGCACCCAGGTTGGTGACATAAACATTTGTTTGAAGTATATTTTCTTAGCTTATAGCACAAGGGTGTTGCAAAGAGGGCACAAGTGGACTAGCAGCATGAGCACAATGCACAACAATGCTCTTAGCGAGGCCTAGTGACACCAACTAATTTTTCCCACAAAACCTGCTCCTCCTCCTAACTCCTCTCTGTCTATGAATAGCTGCAAACCTCTGAGTCATGCTTGCTGCCACCTTCCTCCCTCCCTCATCCCACATCAGATGGAATTGCCACACCCTGCCCATCTCTCGCCTCTGGCCTCTCTTCTCCATTCCTCATGCCACCTCCGTGGTTCAGGTCTGCCTTATGCTTAACTGGTGTCCCGGCTTCCAGCTTCTGCCCTGGGCAGTGCATCCCCCACGTGGGGCCTGGAATTGCCTCGTCTTCTCCAGGATGCTCTTTCAATGGTCCATGCCCCGTCTTAGCTCCTTAGCTTGGGTTTCTCCCCTTTGAAATACCCACAGTGGCTCCTGACTGATCCAAGGATCATAGGAGTTTACAGGGAGCTTATGTGGCCAACTCTGCAGACAGCTTCGTGTTAAAGGGACACCATGGCCAAGTTCGGCGGCATCTTTGTGTGCCGCATAGAGCCCAGCATGGTACTTTGCCACTGATGAGCCCTCAGTAGCTTGGTTCATCTGAATGGGTGAGTGGGTGAATGAAAGAGAGCTACCTGTGGTTCTGTGGGATTTCAGAAAGTCACGTATGCTAGTGCAACCTTGATTTTTAATTTGTTTTCTTTTTTAAAAAAATATATTTTTATTGATTTCAGAGAGGAAAGGAGAGATAGAAACATCAATGATGAGAGAGAATCACTGACAGGCTGCCTCCCGCACGCCCCCAACTGGGGATCGAGCCCACAACCCAGGCACGTGCCCTTGACCTGAATCGAACCCGGGACCCCTCCGTCCGCAGTCCAAAGCTCTATCCACTGAGCCAAACCAGCCAGGGCTCTTAATTTGTTTTCAGTGACCAAAACTTGTTTGCTGGAATAGATGAGGAAGATAAATGGGACGTTGCTGGCTTAAGCCAGGAGAACCTGAAAAGTGACAGCTATGAAACTCCGCTTATCTGGATACTTTCTGTTGACAGACTGGAATGTGTCTCCTCTATGAAGCAATAACCTATATCTGTGGTCCTCGTTTGCTTTTACGTAGGATTGCAAGAGTCTGTGCATGTTGACTGTGTATACCTACAGTGATGCCACTTGGTCAAGTATGGCAGTGGCTGGAGGAATGAGGAGCAAAGGTCAAGCTTTTAAAAGGGCTTCTCACAATCACATAGCTCTTTAAACTGGTTTCCTGTGTGCCCGATGGTTTCCTTGCACATGTTAAACTTTCAAGACCCTGTGGGAAGGCCATAGGTCAGAGGCGAGGCCTCCACCCTGTGTGACAGCCAGTTGGCTAACAGGCCCTCACGCCTGTGTGTCAGAGTGATTTCCAGTCTGAAGTCTTGGTGAGGAGCGCAGGCTCTTCCTTATTTCCCTGTTACATGGAGGGAGGAATGGGAGCTCATGGCAGCACCAGGACTCCAACAGCCTCCTGACCCAGCCTGTGCCAGGTCCACCCACAACACATGTGAGACTCCTCGCTGGGGTCCTGTTAGTCTCTAAGACTAACCCAGGCTCGATGACCACGTGGACTCCAGGACTCGCCCATCAACTCGTGCTCACAGCTGTGCTTGATGACAGCAAAGCACAACTAGCAAAGGGAAGTGAGACCTGGGGTGAATTCTGGGAAACCAGGCATTGGCTTTCAAGGCTCCTTTGCCAGTGTAGTCACACAGGACACACTAATTCTTCCAGCAACAAGTTGTGACAACACATGTGAAATGATCATTAGAGACTCAGTGCCCAGGGTTTTCACTGGGGGCTGGTCACGTGGGTGCCCTCTGGCACGCTGCCAAAGTTCAGACTCCCAGAAGGAAAGCAGGTGTTCGGCATGGACCACATTGTACTAGCAGTTTAGGTATCGTCAGCCCCCCTTACCAGTTTGGGAACGGGGGTGCTCCCCAAACCCAGACTCCCAGACTCCGGCCAAGGGCCAGCCTTGGCCACAGGCCTTCCAAAGGATGCGCATTCTCAGGCCTGCTGTGTGAATTCTTTTCTGCACAGTCTGACCTGCTTCCCCCTTGCAGATTTCAGTGATGTCAGGGCGAAGGGCTGACCTTCACTGTGGTTCGGGGAGAGCGAGTGCTTACACCTGGTTTGGAGTAGCAGCGTGGCTTCTGGTTTCCTATCAGAGGAAGCACATGCCAGCCTTGCGGGGTGTCTAACACTACAGGGCCTGCTGCTTGCTGCTCTGCGGGCGCATAGTTGGCCCTTTATTGCTTCAGAGATACTTTTCTTCGGATCTATACCTTCCCCCAGGCTTTCGGTGGCTCGGCTTCTGCATATGACGGGTGCACTTGCCACATGGACCTGCTCCGTCTGCAAGTACTCTTGTGACTGGGATGGAATGCCTGGTGTGAGCTCTCCAGCTCCTCCTGACCCTTGCACCTTCTTTACTGGTAGGGAGCGTCTGTTAATCCAAGATGGAGGCCTGATGAGCAGCCTGGAACACGGTGAGAATACACCAGCTTTGGCTGAGTCCGTTATTGAGGACCAACAATGAACAAGGCAGTGTGGGAGACAGACGTGCACACCATCACCAAACCACTGCCTGGAGGAGGAGGAGGAGGAAAGCCTGCATCTATCCTGGCCATTTAGTAAGAGGCCAGCAGGTTCAGGCTCAGTGCTGTGAGGGAGTTCCTGGGCTGGGGATTCAAGCCTCCGTTAGTCTTCAGGGATGTCGCTGGCAAACGAGGTCAATAAAGAAAGACAGGCCGGTGAAAAGGGTGTGAGGTTCCTTAAACCAAGATCAATATCTGTTAGTTCCAGGGGAAATGGAGGAAATGGGCCTGTTTCCTGGACAACTACAGGTTCTGACATGTGGGGAGGAGGAGATGGTAGAAAACGCTCTGAACAAAATGGAAGTTGGCAGCTTGGTGGGTGGTGAATCACATACTAGCAGCAGGTGTCGCCACACAGGGATGTGGCCTTAATCGTACCCACGAAGCCAACTGCCAGTGAGTTTTGGGGTCATGCGGGGTGCTGTATGCTTTCCTCTTTCAAGTGCACTCTTTCCCGCGTCTGTTTCCATCTTTATGAGGTCTCGGAGTTCGGATCACTTAGCTTCTCTCCTCTTGACACCTCATCACATGCTCAGCCACAGCCCTGTGCGTTGAATACCGATTTCACAGTCTTGACTCACACCATTTGGTCGGCATTGCTGGGCCATTGCCTAAACCCAGAAGAAGGCAGATGGCATTCGTGAGCCTGCGTGGGGGACTGCCAGATAGTGTTGTCCTTTGAAGCAGCAGTAGGTGCTGTCTTCCTAAAATGCAGTGTGTGGCTTCCCTGGGTTCACCATCCTCAGCCCTTCCCAGCCAGGCCCCTCCTCTTACTTACCCTGTCTCTCCCCTCCCCCGGCTTTGGTCCTTCTGCTCAGCTTACCTGTTTCCCTCTGCAAACCACTTGCCTTTCATTCTCCTCTCCAGATCTCTGCATCTGCCACCCCGCAACCCCCAGGAGAACCCCTTCTCATTGCCGCAGACGCCCGACAGGGCAGCCTTCATTCCAGGTCATCTCAGCATGGGCCTGCCTGGATTCCCCTGCAATGAGCTAGGCTGGTGTCCTCCGACACTCCTCTGTGTGTTATGTCATTTGGGCATGCACTCCTGTTATCTGGGATGGTGGCAGAGCCTTCCCTCACCCTTGGTTCCCCACCTGCTACCTTTATACAGGAGATCCCCTGCCTGGCTCACCTCTCTTCAGGATTGGCTCTGCATGTGACCGTGCAGCTGGAGTACTGGCTCTGGAGGCTGCACAAGAAGCTAGTTTTGTTCCTTTGGGATCTGATGCTTGCCAAACACTCACGCAGTGGGCAGGATCAGCTGCCCATGTCACCAGGTTTATCAGTTATCTATCGCTGTGTAATTTTGAGGCTCAAAACAACAGTGATTTCATTATCATCTCAAAATTTAGTGGCTTAAAACAATAGATATCTTAGGATTTCCGTGGGTCAGGAATTCATGAGTGGGAGGTTAGTTGGGGTGATTCTGGCTCAGGATGTTTCATGAGGGCTGCACTCATCTGAAGGCTTGACTGGGGCTGGGGGCTCACTCACAGGCCTAACAAAGTGATGCTGGTTGTTGACTGGTGGGCCTCTCCAAAGGGCTGCTTGAGGGTCCTCACCACATGGCAGCTGGCTTTTCCCAGAAAGAGTGGTCCAAGAGAGCACTAACCTCAAAGTTACACTCTTTTTTATTTCCACAATGTCCTGTTGGTTATACTAGTCAGCCCTGCCTAGTGTGGGAGGAAGTCTCCAAACCTCTGTGACTCTATCTGTAAACAGCCCTACTTGGCTGTTTGAAACAAACCACGAAGAAGTACTTGGTAAACTGTTGCATAAGTGAAAGGGATGCTTCCGAGTCCACCCTGGAGGTCTGGGTCTATAGTCTCAGTTGGAGTGGCAGGACTCTCAGGTTCCTACCTGCTCCATCTCTGGGGGTCTGAGACTTTAGTGGAAAGAGCCTGCTATGGAGTTAGAGGTCTGCACTGCCTAGCAGGACGCTGGGCAGTCACCCTTCTCCATTGCTTGGTGTCTGCGAGGGCTCAGACCACAGCAGGCATGCCCTGCATGTGGCACCAATGCAGGCCTTCCTCCCTCTGCCCACTGAGAGCCCTTCAATCAAGCCTCTAGCAATCAGTCCCCATAAGCTTCACCTCCCAGCTCTGACTCCAGGGCCTCTCCCAGCTTCAAGGGTCTGAGATTCTGAGGATTTGCCCTGAGGAGTTCTTTTGTCTGGAGCTATTGAGTCGGGGAGCCTCAACCCATTCCTTCTCTTGCATCCCACAGAAATGAGGGCGAAATGGCCCACACCTGCCGGGGCACCATCAACATGTCCACCGCGCACTTTGACAGGGAGGATTATTGCAGTATCGTGCTGACCAGTGGGGCAAAGACCTACCACCTCAAGGCCAGCTCGGATGTGGAGCGGCAGCAGTGGATCACCGCCCTGGAGCTGGCCAAGGCCAAGGCTGTCCGCATGATGATGAGCCATTCAGGTAGAGCGCTTGGCGCAGTGGGTGTACGTGCAACGTGCTGGGTCTGGAGAGAGTGGGAATCGAAAGCACTTGGGGGATGGAGGTGACCAGGAGACCCAGTCGACTCCAGGCCAACCCCGGAAGGTCGAGGTGTGTGTTCACCCTTCCCACTTGGCTCCGTGTGCTCTCAGCAGTGAGATGCTCAAGTTTTTGGGATGGCTGGCAGTTCTAAGGATGGACATGTTTGTGGGGGCGGGGCTTGTGCCCTTTCTTTGAAAGAATCTGTTCCTGGACTTGAGGAGACCCTTCAGAGTGCATGCTGAACCTCTTCCCTAGCACCCAGCCCCTTCCCATACCCTGCTTTCCCTTAAGTTTGCTTATCCTTCAAGGAGAGGCCATTCTGGAAACCCTCCCTGAGCCAGCCCCCTGCCTGGGCCAGATGCTTGTATCTGCAACCTGGCTCAGCCCCTTGTGCACAGTAGCCTAGAGGTTAGCGCAAGCAAGGCCTTCCCAGAGCCTCAGATTCCCCACTTGTCAGTCCATTGGAGGCTTTGATTACGGACCTCCTAGCATCCTTCCAATTCAAAGATTTCTAGGTCGGTGGGATCCTGGGTTCAAACCTCCTGTCTGTGTGACCTTGGGCAAATTGCTCGCTGTCTTTTGCCTCATTTCTCTATAAATAGGCTTAATAATGGAACCACCTCGTAGAGGATTAACCTAGAAATGCATAAAAAGAACTTAGCACGTGGCTTGGCAATTGCTCAAAAAGCTAGCTGTAGTTATTAATAATAGTCACCATGGAAGCTTAAAAATAACACAGGTTCCCAGCTTCCCTTGCCCTGGTAAAGCTGAATGAATGAGAGCAGCATGGGGGGGTCACCTGCATTTAAGAAAAAAGTCTCCCTGGATGTGATTGCCAGATTTAGCAAATAAAAATACAGGTCACCCCGTTTAATTTGAATTTCAGATACACAACAAGTAATGTTTCTGTATAAATGTGTCCCATGTAATAGTCAGGACATACTTATACTACAATTTATTTATAGTGCTTCTCAAATTCAGATGAAAAGGGCGACCTGCTTTTTATGTCCCTGCATTTGGCGGGGCCCAAAGTTGAACTTCCCAGTCAGAAAATAGAGTATCCCTTCTATTGCCACAGGGGGGCGCTAGAGGATAGTTCATTTGCTCTCTCTGCTCCTGAATCATGTCTACGCACCAGCAGGTCATCTGTCTTGCCTCTTGGTACTTGAGAATCATTTTCAGATCTCCAGGTTAGCTTCCCAGGGCGTGCTGGGGGTTGTAAGAATGGAATACAGAGCTGGCCACCCCTCTGTCTTGGGCCTTACTTCAAGGGGGGCTAATCCAGCCCCTGAGAGCTCCTTCTCTCCTGCCCTGCTCCCCAGGCTGGCCTGCCCCCCCCCCCCCCCCCCTCCACTGATGTCATAGCCCTATTCTGATATCACAGCCCAGCGCTTGGAATGACCCCAGGCAGCCCAGATTCTGTCCTTAGAGCAACCAGGGCTCACATCTGTGCGGGGCTGAGGGAAGCTTGGGTGACTGGCGGCCCTGGGGGCTGGCCCTAAAGAACACCTGGGCAGCCTACCATCCCGTCGCTCTAAAATGGAAATCCTCTGAAAGGTAGGACTTTGACGGCTTTCCTCCTGCCCCTGTTGGTTGTGGCCCCCTAATAAATTCCTGGGCGTGTGGCGTTGCTCTGGCTCTGTAAACCGCTCCTGGCGAGCCTGCTGCTTTCGATGCGCGTGGCCTAGAGAAATGGTGGTGTCTCCTTGGCCCACTCAACAGGCCTCTCTTCCCTTTTGAAGGAATGGCTTCCTGAAACGCAGGGTTTCTTGCTTGTTGCGGGGAGCTGCTCCGAGCGCTTGGGAAATGCCTGCAAGCACTCAGCCATGGTGGTTCTTCTGTGGCACCTCCTTCGTCCTTACTCTCTGGGTAGGGACACCAGTACATAATCTCAGGACAAAAGGAAAACCCAGCCACATGGGCACTGTTATCTCCCAGACCCCTCGCAAGGAGCAGCCCCATCTGCTCAGCTTGTCAGAAGGTGTAATGAGGTCTCTTGTGAGCTCATTAAGTTAGCAAAATATTGACTGGCACGGATTAAACAACACAATGACTTTTCTCTGACTTCAGCGGGCATGAAGTCCCCTGGGGTGAGCACGTTCAAATTCTTAGGAGCAGATCACCAAGATTCTGATCTGATGGTCAGGAACCCCCATTTTTATTATTTTTTTTGCTAATCCTCACCTGAGGATATTTCTTCCATTGCTTTTTCAGAGAGAGTGGAAGGGAGGGAAGGAGGAGGAAAGAGAGAGAAACTTCGCTGTGAGAGCCACATCAACTGGTTGCCTCCCGCACACACCCTGACCGGGGGTGGGGAGGGAACCTGCAACCCAAATACTTGCCTTTGACCAGGAATTGAACCCACAGCCCTTGGGTTCGAGGGTCAACACTCTAACCACTAAGCAACACCGGCCAGGGCAGCAACCTGCATTTTTTAAAAAAATATATTTTATTGATTTTTCACAGAGAGGAAGGGAGAGAGATAGAGAGAGTTAGAAACATCGATGAGAGAGAAACATCGATCAGCTGCCTCCTTCACATCCCCCACCGGGGATGTGCCCGCAACCCAGGTACATGCCCCTGACCGGAATCGAACCCGGGACCTCTCAGTCCGCAGGCTGACACTCTATCCACTGAGCCAAACCGGTTTCAGCAGCAACCTGCATTTTTAATAAGCATTCCATTCAGGCCT